CTGGGTTCTTGTTAAGGGATTTTATTTAAGTTGCTACGGTTTAGGGGTTTAGGGTTTAGGGTTTAGGGTTTAGGGTTATATACATATGTATATGTATATATATATATATATGCTCGCCCTCCCGCCCCCCCCCAAGATGCACGCATTCGTGGTTCATGGGGCAAGGGGTGCACGAGACACTGTAATGCTCAACAAATTCCGTATAGTACCAGTATTATTAATATTAGTATTAATGTGAGAATTAATATTAGCAATAATATTCGTATTGATATTCATATTAATACTACTACTTATACTAATACTAATATTACTAATACTAATACTAATACTAATACTAATACTAATACTAATACTAATACTAATACTAATACTAATACTAATACTAATACTAATACTAATACTAATACTAGTGAATACTAGTTTTAGCATTCGTATTCGTATTAATATTACTTTTAGTATGAATACTAGTATTCATATTATAGCAGCTACTGAATACGAGTACAAATATTAAAAATCAGAATACTAATACTAATATGTATACTAAGATTAATATTAGCACTAATACTTAATAGCATAGCATTAAGAAATTTAGTACTAGTATTGGAATTAGTATTCGTAGTAAAATTAGTATTAACAGGAATACTATAATGCTAATATTAATACTAATATTGGTATTTGTACTAATACTATTCCGTATAGCGCCGTATAGTGTTAGTATTATTGGACTTAGTAGTAATATTTGTATTTATACTGATTCTAATATTAATACCAAAACTACTACTAATTTGTTGCGGTCTCACCTTAAGCATACTACTCGCACCCCAGGTAACACGAATATGACCCGCAAAATCCGAGCTGCACAGTTCGTGTCTTGGTTCGGTAAGCGCAATATGTGGGAGGTTACCGGCAATATGCTGGAGACCTTGTTTTGGGCCATTGAGATGTTGAGCTACTTTTTGTCATGTGTAGCACGTGATCGGAGACATCACACGCAGTGAAAAACAGATCATATGATCGAAGAGAGAGTCTGTAGCATTTTTTGTGGTAATGGCAATGTTGTTAAAGAGCACGCAATAAAACACTAGAAAACG